CCCGAAGAATTAAAAAAAAACAGACTTTTAGAACTAGATCTATCTCAACAAAATCACCCCTTTTCTCAAATCTAAGTGTACGCTTTCCTTTTGTGAAAAGTCTTCTGATTTTTCTCTTCATCATAGGATTAGGACAGTATTGTACTATCAATGAAGAGGAATAAAGATTTTCATGATCTGATAGCTTGAGTCTCATCGGCATCACAAAAAACAGCTATTATGCAATTTCTTGAACGATTGTTTTTCTGTAAGATCGCACGCGTAACTTGTAGCTTGATCAAATTTCTTCAAATGTTACAAGAATACAATTCTGAATTGAGCTTTTCTACGTTGAAACTCGCAAAATCTTATGGCAATTCGTACTAGAATGTTGAATTTGATAAGAGTGGCATGAAAATACTTGGTGAATGTTAAGAATTTTATGCAACATTGTTCAAGATTTTTGCTGATAAAAAAACAATTACTGCAATGCAAAAATAGTACTACATAGTGTAACGAGAAAACATTTCTTAGTACTTGATACTTTCGTTATTTTTATCGTGCCTATATGTAGAGAAGTATTACAATAGAATAATCGTCAAAAGGTTGATGCTTTTCTTGATATATGACCAAAATTTCTAGTTTTCAGCGATTTTCACTGTATGATTTCAGATTTTGAATAAAACCTTATTTTTAATTTTGGTAGTAAAATCTTTTCAACACGAAAACTTTTCCATCAATAACTTACATACAAATTACACTCTATAGTATTGATATTTTGACAGACTCATGTGTTAGTGATCCGATTTTCAAGAATGATGAAACTTAATGTAGGTGATGTTAGCCTTGTACTCTATCGAGTTATTATAATCCACTGATGATCTCTGAAGTCATTCGTTTTGAAGTTGAAAGAAATCGGGTGTGCTCGCTGAAACATATGGAATTATAGTGGGAGTTCTTACGCTGATTAAATCAGCAACTACTCCAGACTTTCATGCTAGTATTCCAAGGATAATTGTAGTTAATCTTTTAATGACACTGAGAAAAAGACATCGGACAAGTGGTCAGAGAACAGTTACTGAGTGTACTTCCAGAGTTCTCTGTAACTCAAAAACGGATAACATTTTTTGCAATTTTGAAAATAACAGTAGAGCATAACTTAAAACGGATTCTCACTATTTGATAGAGTATGTCAAGTACTATGTGGAATAAAAGTAAAAATAAATAGAACGCTTCTTGAGTCAATACCGGCAAGGACTATTTTTCGGGCAATCTAAGATCCACGAGGAATAGTTAGTATTTCCCAACTCGTAGTCTAACGGTTTGCGATACTGTCGCTTTGATTTTATCTTTTGATGGAAAAAAGAGGTTTGAAGAACCAGTTAGAAACCTAAAACATTCAGCCAATCTCCTTTCTTTTTCTAGACCTAATATAACTTGCATCTTATATAAATTTCATACATGTTGAATCTTGATACATGAACAAGTTATTTCGAAACTCATATATTGAGAAAGGTTTGAATCGAAATTCGAAATATGATTTCACTTAAGAATAAATTTTATATATGAAAAATTCACAAAAAAATTTAATTTTCATGCGGATTAACTCAAAATGACAAAGCCTTTTGATCATTATTCTATTGGAATACTTCCCTATGTATGGATTTCATTTGAAAGTAAAGAAAATGTTGTCTATTTATTGGCATCACTTAACAACAGAAAATGTTTCTAAACACTGATCAAATTTAAGGGCTAAGAAAAAGGGGAGCACGACTGTTGTGTGTAAGACAATTGTGTGTAAGACAATTCTGTGCAGACAACTGTGTGTATGGACAGTTGTGTGCAAGAAAATTGTGTGAACAGACAATTGTGTGTTAGATGTTTGTGTGCAGATAATTGTGTGCAAAATGAGTGTGTGTATGTGCAAATATGCAATCTAGCTTTGCATTTCTGTTTGTTGCATTGTGTACATCGCCAGTATATTTTATTTTCATGAGCACGTTCTTGAATGTAATCAAAACCGTTCTCAATCAGAACTGGCTTGCCTTTTTCAGTTTCAGAAAATAAAATTGACATGATGTGTTCGT